AAAGTATCTCCAAAGAAGGAAGCACCTACACCACTTTTTTCACAATCATGGTTGGTGTAATTTGAGCACATCATACAGATTCAATAAAGCAGCACTGGTATATCACAGCCATCACCCCCCTGTGAAACAAAAATGATGATGGAAATGAGTACATCAGCAGACAATCCTCATACAGAAAACTCAAGAGCAACACTGCAGACATTCTGACGATTACCTTATAATGAGTGTTCAAGAGAAACTCCTCTGCTCCAAACTACCAACTGTGCTACTATCCTTCTTCTCCATGAGTTCTTACAATGAAACTTTTATAATTATACACACTCACTTAGCTATTACTCATTTACTGTTGTGTAAGAAAATGTGCATATGTGGATATTGTTGCCTTATTTGTTATCACAGCTCTTGCAATAACTAAATTGAAGAACATAAACTCAAGCAAAATTTAGTGCAAAACACAATTTTTATACTCCCAATCAGTTAACATTGCACTGTATCCTCGAATGGATCTGATGTTCTATTCAATAGCCTAGCTTCCTCAAACTGTTAAAATGAAATGTAGGGACCAGGGCTGCAGCGCAGTAAGTTAAGCCTCTGCCTGCAGTCCCAGCACCCCATATAGGTGCTGGTTTGTGTCCTGGTTGCTCCACTTCTGATCCAGCTCCCTGCTAATGTGCCTGGGACAGCAGTGGGCCCCGGCACCCATGTGGGAGACCCAGAAGAAGCTCCTGCCTCTTGGCTTTGGATCAGCCTAGCTCTGGCAATTGCAGTCATTTGGGGAGGGATCCAGTAAATGGGGACCTCTTTCTGTCTCTCCCTCTATCTGTCTTTAACTCTGCCTCTCAAATAAATAAATAAACCTTAAAAGAAAAAAAAAGGAAATGTCATTTCTGGAATATTTTGTGCAATTGTATATCCTGTATCCTGTATTTTTTGAAGAAAAAAATATGTAAAATGTTTCAAGTAGTTTACTATAAAAAGGAACTAATATAGTTTTTGATTTATTTTTATATGTAAAATGAAGATTATTAGTTGATTCAGTCTTTATTTTTTGGCAACATTCACTTTTTCCAAAGCTATTACTTCACACACATCAAAAGCAATTACTATAATTGCTAGCACCTTATCTAACAGACTAGGACAGTGATTAATGTCTTTAAGACATCTTCTTATTTTTTTTCTTTTCATAATCTGTGCTAGGCACTGTATTAAGTTCTTCAATAGCAGACAACAATTATGAATCTGCATTTAGGGAAATACGAGCAAAAAATGTGACTAAGTGGCAAGGTAAGATTAAATTGAAAGGCACTCTTAAACAGTCATTTCAATATTTGCCAGTTTTCAACCTATGAATATGGGTTAAACCACCTCAACTTCTTACCAATCAGGACAAAATCATAATCTTTAAAACTCAACATCTTTGTACCAATCTCTTGCCATTTCCAGAGCAGTTTGCTTCTTTGGTTGAGTCAGTTATTTTACCCCATGAGGTTAAAACCCTTAAACCTAAGATGTCTTTTTCAAAGGCAGTTGTTCTCTGCTGTTATTAATGTTGTGATGTATTAACATATCAGAGAAAAGCTAGAGAACAATTTACTTAAGACAAGATCACTCCAGGATTGGCATAAAGGCAACCACTTCTACCATGTAATGTATTTTAAGAATTAGGAGGAAAAAATATGGCCTTAAGTTTGTTCACAAAAAAAGTATTGTCTGTCTAGGGAACTAAGATATCTTCAGTACAAAAGTAAGAATTTTTTACTTTCAGAGAGGTCTTGGATATCACATTATCATTATCACTACAAAGTATTTATTATGTTCAGTAGAGTACTATTTCAGATCCTGTTTTGGGCATTTAGAAAGTAAGCACCTTTTTTATTTTTATTTTTATTTATTTATTTTTTAATTTTTTTTAATTTTTTTTTTGACAGGCAGAGTGGACAGTGAGAGAGAGAGACAGAGAAAGGTCTTCCTTTGCCGTTGGTTCACCCTCCATGACGCCGCGCCGGCACGCTGCGGCCGGCGCATCGCGCTGATCCGATGGCAGGAGCCACGAGCCAGGTGCTTTTCCTGGTCTCCCATGGGGTGCAGGGCCCAAGCACCTGGGCCATCCTCCACTGCACTCCCTGGCCACAGCAGAGAGCTGGCCTGGAAGAGGGGCAACCGGGACAGAATCTGGCGCCCCAACCGGGACTAGAACCTGGTGTGCCGGCGCCGCTAGGCGGAGGATTAGCCTAGTAAGCCGCGGCGCCGGCCCGAAAGTAAGCACCTTTTATAAGAAAGATTTATGTAAACATTCTAGACAGTGATACTTGTAACATAGTTTGAAGTATTTCCATACTCGGTGCTATATTTTAAGAAAATTGACAATATGGATGCTGACAATACAGCATATATATTTATAAAGACAACACAAAACATCATAACACTATTTTATATATAATATATATATTTAAAATATACATTTTTATATTACATATAATTGTAATATATATGTGTTATTTGTATGAGAGACAGGGGTAACTAATCAATTAATGAGAAAATGTAGTCATTGATACTATTTTCTACTAATGGAAGGGTTCTGTTAAAAAACAGATTAGATTGTCTCTGAGATTCTCCAGATACAAAAACTAAGATAAACAGGTACAAGATTATAAAAAAGTGATTTTAACTCAATATATAAAACAATGTTCAAAAATTTAAACAATGTAAAATGAAAATAGCACTGCTGAGAAGTATAAGAAACCTTTAAACTGAAAATGTCAAAAAAAGTCTAGAAGTTACAATATCATCAAAGAGAATCACAAGATATAATCATTTATTTTTTCCCAATCTAAGATGCTATTCCTATTTAGAAATACTCATCTAATTTTGTTAGATTATTGGCTTTTTTTTTAACTTTTATTTAATGAATATAAATTTCCAAAGTACGGCTTATGGATTACAATGGCTTCCCCCCCATATCGTCTCTCCCACCCGCATCCCTCCCCTTTCCCACTCCCTCTCCCCTTCCATTCACATGAGGATTCATTTTTGATTCTCTTTATATACAGAAGATCAGTTTAGCATACATTAAGTAAAGATTTCAACAGTTTGCTTCCACATAAACATAAAGTGAAAAATAATAGATGATTTTTTAAATGATGATGAAATCAGATCAGACCTATTGTCATGTTTAATCCCAGTGAGAGTCAAGTTGGGAATTGATACTTTCTTCTTCTTTTTTTTTTTTTTTTTACAGAAGATCAGTTTAGTATACATTAAGTAAAGATTTCAACAGTTTGCACCCCCATAGAAACACAAAGTGAAATATACTGTTTGAGTACTCGTTATAGCATTAAGCCTCAGTGTACAGCACATTAAGGACAGAGATCCTACATGAGGAGTAAGTGCACAGTGACTCCTGTTGTTGACTTTACAAATTGACACTCCTGTTTATGGCATCAGTAATCTCCCTATGCACCAGTCATGAGTTTCCAAGGCTATGGAAGCCTTTTGAGTTCACCAACTCTTATCTTGTTTAGACAAGGTCATAGTCAAAGTGGAGGTTCTCTCCTTCCTTCAGAGAAAGGTACCTCCTTCTTTGAAGACCTGTTCTTTCCACTGGGATCTCACTCACAGAGATCTTTCATTTAGGTTTTTTTTTTTTTTTTTTTTTTTTTTTTTTTTTTTTTTTTGCCTGAGTGTCTTGGCTTTCCATGCCTGAAATACTCTCATGGGCTTTTCAGCCAGATCCGAATGCCTTTAGGGCTGATTCTGAGGCCAGAGTGCTATTTAGGACATCCGCCATTCTATGAGTCTGCTGAGTATCTCACTTCCCATGTTGGATCACTCTCCCCTTTATTTATTCTATCAGTTAGTGTTAGCAGGTACTAGACTTGTTTATGTGCTCCCTTTGACTCTTAGTCCTTTCATTATGATCAATTGTGAACTGAAATTATTGGCTTAAAACCAGAAGTAACACTACACACTGGACTGGTAAGCCAACCAGTACATTATCAATGAAACATCTATTTTTCCTCACCTTTATGATAGAAAGTTTTAAAAATGTAATACAGGGAATTAGTTAAAATTCTGACATTTTATTTTACTAGATTCAATAAAATTTCTCATCCAGAATAAATTAACAGTGGCATATCTGAAATTACAAAACCATATATACCCAGTGGAAATACATAAAACACAGCAATCATTTATCAAGTTCTCAGTCAACTTTTACCTCCCTTTAACCAAAAGAAAAACTGCATCCCACTGAGTAACAAAATGGCAATTACTTCCTCCCTCTCATGTACACTAAGCATTTATTTAAATGAAATAAATTATACAATTAAGGTTTAGCATATACTTCTATAAGCACATCTTCAATTTTATGTTCTGGTGCCATCAAAATAAATACATACAGATATGTGTGTGTATGTATCAATCTGTCAACTAAGCAAAATCCTTGTCCTGATTTATTCTCTTTAATAGTGTTTTCTAGTAAAGGTAATTATGAAGTAAATTAACCGCTGATTTTAACATCTTTCAAAACACTTAAAAAACAACTGTACTATGCTCACTTTTTCAAGTAAGCACATTTTTAGTGGCATTATAAAACATACTACGCTGGTAGTTAAAAAATATTTCACAACCTAAAACTATACAGAAACCAATAAGACAAAAAGTCAAAAATTTTCTTAGATAATATTCATTATAATAATATGAATAACATATAGAACAGAACTAGGTATTTTAGAATAAAGCAATGAAAAAATGTCTTGTTCTTGTTAGGGAATTAAATGTGTTCCTACTCCATGTTTTCCTAATTCTGTGGACCCACCAAATGCTACCAGGTAACTATTCTCAGTTTAGCATATAAAATTCCAGGTATCCAATGCATAATCATATGTATCATAGAAAGCATATTCTTGCTATTTTGAGATTTTAATAATAAAGATAAATTCTGTCATTCTGAATGACTGATGACATTTCTACGATAGTAAATAAAAATTGGATATACTTGCCTAACCAGGGTAATGTCCATATCCTTTTGGATGAGTTCAGTCTGTTTATTATTCAGCTGTAATGATAGGGCATTATATTTACTCTGTGATGCTTCAATTTCTTTCTTTGCTTCAATTAAGTTGTCTTCAAAGGCCTAAAATTAGAATACTAACATTATAATCAAACAAAATATACGAAATGTAACAAAAAGTCCGTTACAGCTAACTAGTCCACAAAATGACAGAAAAACAATATTATTCAACAATTTTAAAAAATGTTTTACTATTATTTACTCATTTTAAATAGTTTAAAGGCAGAAAGAGGGAGACAGCCAGCCAGCCAGAGGCAGAAACAGCATCTCCCATACACTGGTTCACTATTATAGTGCCTGAAGGAGTAGGAGCTGGACCAGGCCTAAGCCAGAAGCCAAGAATTCATTCTAGGTGTCCAACATAGGTGATAGGAACCCCACTACTTGAGTCTTCACTTGCTGTTTCCCTGGGTCTGCATTAGCAGGAAGCTGGAATCATCAGCAGAGCTATGACTAGAACTCAGGCACTTTGATATGGTATGCATGTGTCCCAAGTGATACCTGACTTCTACATAAATGCCTCTCTCAGGACATTACAATTTTTGTTGTTTTCATTTCATTAAAATGCTACAATTTTTAATTTTTTTTTTCAGAAACTAAGAGAGTGTCATGGCTTCCTGGTGTAAAAAAATAAGAAATTTTTAAAAATTTGAAAGTTCATATAGAAATTTAATGATTAAAATTATAATAAAGGCATTGCTGTGAATAAAATGTCATTCATTATGTGAATAAAAATGAGCCTATTTAAATATTAATCAGAACAAATGGTTCTTATTTCCTATTTCCTCTGTTTTAAGTGCATACACTCAGAAAAGAAAGAACAGTTTTTGCTGTGTTTGAGACTCAGATCATATTCAGTTCACTTGTGGTCACATTTCACCAAAAAATTCTTCAAAGCTGTCCTTGTCTTTCTGATTACTCTGTAAATTTCTTTTCATCTTAAATGATTTTTAACTTACTATTATATTTTTAAAATATATTATTAGTTTTAAACATTCTTATGAAGAATTAAATAAATATATCTAAATATACATACTCACAGACATTAAACATTCATTATTTTCAAAAATAAACACCAGAGGTTAGTTTAAGCACTAGAAATTTCCATTTATTCAAAAAAAACCAATGATGGGTAAATTATGGGTAAATAACTAGGTAGGCAGATGGAAGGGAGAAACACAAGGTCAGAGTTTTACAAAACGTAAAACATTCAAAAACAAAAGGAACTGTCAAAGGAGTGAAACAGAAAATGGTAAGTGAGAATAGAGCAAATACATTTTGATCTCTGTGCCTTACTATATTTAGGGGTGGTTAGATGTTCAACAACTGAGAGACAGTTAGGAATAAATGCACATATTGATATGCTTTGGGGAAAAGAAGTAATTTGGATTTACAAAAGGACCTGGAGACTATGAAAGGGCTCTCCTACTCTCAAAAATAAATGAAAAAAAATATTGACTAATCTAGAAACAGAAGAAATTGTTAAAGTATCACAGAATCTGGGCAAAACTGCCTATTTGAAGAGTCAATGTGACTTATGCCAAATGGCAGTAAGGGAAAAACACCCAAAGTCATCAAAAAAAAAAAAAAAAAACACCCTAATTCCTGACAAGGATCCCAGAGTGCCAGAAACCTCAAAATTGTTTAGAAGGAAGAAAAGAACAAGGGCTGGGAACAAGGACATTATAACATTTTCATTCAAAATAAACTCTTAGAAAATCTATCCTTCATAAGAAAGTCATGAAAAATAGAAGATAAATATTATAATAACAGAATTATTTCAAAAGAATTAGAAATATATATATGTATGTGTGTGTGTATATATATATAAATATATATATATATATATATATATATATATATATAAAGGGCTATTCAAATTTCCCCAGTTTTGAAGATATTTACTCTTTTATTTATTTATTTGAAAAGCAGAGTAATAGAGAAAGAAGGAAAAACAGAGAGATATTCCATCCACTGGTTCACTCTCCAAATAATAGCAAAAGCTGAGGCTACCAGGCCAAAATCAGGAGCCAATAGCTCCATCTGTCTATTCCAAGTGAGTAGCAGGAATCCCAAGTACTTGGAACACCATCTGCTTGCCTCCCAGGTGGATTAGCATGAAGCTGGATTCAAAGCAGAAGCAAGACTGGATTCCAGCATTCTGGTAATGGGATATGAGTGTCCCAAGTGCCAGTTTAACCCATGTATCTGAATGCCCATCCTTAAGTAAATATATTTAACATATAAAAAGGACAAAAATGGAACACACAGGCTACTTAAGTGAAAAAAGTAATAGTTGGTATCAAGAGTAGAATCAAAGAAATAATGAAAAGGCTACTGAACCCAAGTACCAAAAAATCCAACCAAAGATGACAGTTGCTTGACAAGCAATAAGAAGAGTCAGAGTTGGGGCTGGTACTATGGTATAATGGGTAAAGCTTCCGCCTGCAGTGCCGCATTGCATCCCATATGCACACTGATTCAAGTCCTGGCTGCTCCACTTCCATTCCTGCTCTCTGCTATGGCCTGGGAAAGTAGTAGAAGATGGCCCAAGTCCTTGGGTCTCTGCAGGAAGACCCAGCGGATGTTCCTGGTGCCTGGCTTCAGATTGGCACAGCTCTGCCCGTTGCAGCCAACTGGGGAGTGAACAAGCGGTTGGAAGTCCTCTCTCTCTCTCTGCCTCTCCTTCTCTCTCTGTGTAACTCTGACTTTCAAACAAATAAATAAATATTTTAAAGAGACAGAGAAACAGTTGAAATATAGTCTGCAGGTAGAAATGACAGGATGTGTTGATAAGTTGCCTATGGGAGAGCAAGACAAATAGACAAAGACAAGCATGAAAGATCTCTCCTATTGATACAGCCTGGGTAATGAGGAACAGTGGTCCCCTTTACCATGACAGGGCCAACTACAGAAGGGATATGTTTCAGAAAAAAAGACAGTCTTTTTCTTTTTTAATTTATTTATGTGAAAGGCAGAGTTAGAGAGAGAGGAGGAGAGAGAGAGATATCTTCCATCTGCTGGTTCACTCTCCAACTGGCCTCAATGGCCGAGGCTAGGCCAGGCTGCAGCCAGGAGACAGGAGCTTCTTCCTGGTCTCCAACGTGGGTGCAGGGGCCCAGGGACTTGGATCATCTTCTGCTGCTTTCCCAGGCACATTAGCAGAGAGCTGGATTGGAAGTGGACCAGCCAGGACACCAATGGCACCCATATGGGATGCTAGCACTGCAGCCCACAGCTTAGTGACAGAGCACTGCTCTCCCTAAAGCCAGTCCTTGCATACAATTCCAGCCCATAATTCCATTGTTGAGAAGTCAGTGAACTCCAACCTGGCTTTATGTGCCCCCAAAGGTACTTGGAAGGAAACTCTTTGAATGAAAGTCTCTTAATAGTAACACAGAATTAAAATGAAACTTTTCACTGTATACTGTTAAATTTTAAGCCAGGTATCTCTATTATGCATTTTAAATGAAAAACAAATTCAATTGAAGTTGGAGCAAAAATAGAAGCATGTCAGAAAATAACTAAAATTTTAACAAATGCTGGTAAGCTAAAATAAGTATTTAAAATCTATACACAAAAAGCACCTAACCTGGTCATGAAGATTTACTGAAAAGGTTTACAATAATCTCAATAAAGGAATAATCTCAGTCTTAATGAGAAATGTTATAACAAAACAAATGAAGGAACTCATCTTATGAAATTTGCATGACTAAAGGAAAAATATGAACATTCAACAGATTTGGAACAATCATCAAAAAAGCTCAATACTTTTACAAGGTGATTTAAATAAACAAGCAAACAGAAACAGTACCAACTAAATAGAAATATGAAGGAAATTGTTAATTTGATAACAGGAATGCCAACATTTTGGCAAATATCATAATTAACAAAAAATATCATTTGTTGAAAAGATTGTCCTTTCCTCATGAAAGGGTCTTGTCATCCCTTGTCAAGATTTATTCTAGACTCTCTATTGTAACCCATTAGTGTGTATATCTGTTTTTATGCCAGTGTCGCATGGATTTGATTACCACTGTGTTATAAAAGCTTTGGAATCAGGAAATGAGAGACCTCTAACCAAAACACATTGAACTCTATGTAGCAGGCACTCTATCATGTTTGTATTTTTCCTTTATAAAGTCCCACTCATTCCCCAATTTTGAAAGAAACTCTCACCAAGGTTCTCCCTGTAGTAATGATGCATTTCTTTGGTTTTTGAAGAATTTTTTGAATTTCACATTTTGGTGCTGTGACTGAAAGAAGAGTGCAGACAGAATCAAAGGTGCCTCATCACCACATCCAGGTAGATGGACTACCAGAGAGCCCGTTCTTCTACCCTTTTTACAGAAATCAGAACACCCAGATGGGGAAGCCTTATTCCCAAGCCTTTACTTCAAAGTCTAAAAGTATGGTTTTATTATATGCTTAGAATTCATGTTTTGTCAGTGAATATTTGACTTTCATTTGCCTCTGGGGCTTTCATCTGAAAGAATATTTAGATTACCAGACTTTATCTGGTAAGACTCCTGCATTCTTAGAACCTACCTTTACACTAAATGTTACCTTTTCATCTGAGATAATTTAGCAACATTAATGTTCTCCTTTGTTTGAGACCTGTTTATCTAGTATACATCACCTTAGAACACAACCTTCAAAAGAAGTATGAAGGCCTCTAATGGAGACAGAAACACCCAATATGCAGATTAAGCTCTATTGATAGGGAGAAAAAACTTTTCTATATGATCCAAGAGCTACTCTGTTAACTATCCATGCTACCAATTCTATCATTCCTCTAATTCTTTAGGTCAAAAACATACAGTGATGATGGTAATATCTACCATTGTCTACTCCACATTTGATAATAATTTGGGGAGCTTTCATAGGATTACATGTACCAATTCTATTCGTTAACATAGAAGGGAGATATCACCCTTACAAACTGTTTTTTCCCATATTTACAACTTTCCCTTCTTTGGAAGAAATGAGTTTTTTCTTCCTTAACAATTTCCCATTTGTTAAAAAGCTGCTCTCTCCCATCTTCTTTCTGTTCCTCTTTTCTT